AAAAAATCGATGTTATTTTATGCCTAATAGCCTGATTATGTAACTTTATCCTAGACTCTACATATAATTTGTATTAATGGAACTGCTTATTTTGAATACTTTGTACCTTCAATTCAATATTTTTACGTTCTTTAAGTCTTTTATAACTGCTTGCTAATATAATTGAAAGTGATCATTGTCATCTAATTTTCCTTTGCTTATGAACTGAAATAATAGACCTAAAATAGAGAAATCATTAAATTTTAAAGATATACAAGAAAATCCGTTGATATCATAAATCTTTTCGTGCATTTTTGTCTAAAGTTGTTTGTGGTATGCCTTTTGAGTTTTTTGTTCCTTTTAAAGCAGGCCACTTTTCCAAGCTTGTTTCTATGGTTTGGTAATTGGATATTTTATGATATCGTTACAATCTTACGATATCAAGTTGCAAACCTTGGATTACGCCTTATTTTTAGCAATGCCATTAACTGATGGACTCTAATACGGAGCCTAGTTTTAAATATATAAAAAATATTTTCCCCTAAGACTTGCGGATCTCGGTCCGCCTTTTTATGGTCCTAAAAGATGTTAATTCCAGACCTACTGATGTATCTACTCCTGAGTTTATTAAATTGCTTGCCAATTGGACTGAGGGCCAACCATTGGAAAACCGTATTATCCAGTTCGTTAAATTTTATGAATAAACATTTCACACTTTCTCTGAAAAGTTCTTCCTCAACCTTGGACATTTTTATATCACTTTACATATTAGCACAAGGCCTCACTCCTTGAACTCGCTTTTAAAGTTTACCTCATTGTTGTACGCCCAAGACTAGATCTACTGTTTGAAACCACATAATTATTTTATTTTATCATGTCTGTCATAGTGCGAATTTATAAATATATGTTTTCTTATATATTTTTTTGTTCGTTATTATTTGCCTTTGACATATTTATCGATTAATATATTTATCAGTATGATAGATAGCCTCACTTTTGTTAGACGATTACAGGCTTTCCATTGCTAAGTTTCATCAGTAACGAAAATCCCGCTAAAGAGATTTCAAGTCTTCTAGATTTAAGGAGTATCTGTGTTCAATAAGCGATATTTTAAGAAGCTTAATTTTTTATCCCAAGTTGAGCAGAGCGTTATTTTAGTTTCTGATAAAGGCAAGCCTAGATAAGGCACATTAGGGCGAATATCTCTGGGACGATATGGATACTCGAAAAATTAATGACATAATTATTTATCTTACCTAATTATATTACGTACAATATATCGATTAGTTTTATTTCATTTCCATGAAATAAGGAAAAGTAGCGATCTCACTTCCGAGTGCCTCTCGAAACCCCGTTCTCGAACTTATTTTTCCTAATAATTACTTTATTAATGCTAATTTACAAAAAAACCTTTAATCATCCTCTATTGGAGTATTCTTTTTTAAATGTTTTCTGATTTAATTTCACTTTACGAAGAGGGTCAAAGATAGTTATGTAATTGTCAGTTTTTCTCAGGAATATTTGCTTTCCTATCTCCGAAATCCTCGGTATTTATAGGTATTTCAGAATCCCATACTTTTCATCTATTGAATGGGACACAGCATCACGATCTATTCTTATTTAAACCCTTCTTCATTAGCTCAAGATCAATGAGTTTATATACTTTTCATCTAATGTTTTGTCTTGCTATGCCCGCCACTAACCACTTAATTTGAATCGCTAGGGGCCTGTAATGATATATATCCTCATTTTTTATGAGCATAACCTCTAATCCTATCATGATTTTTCGGTCCTCTCCTGGTTTCCATATCTCTTTGTTCCCACTTTTATCTCTAATCATCTTTATCCTCTTTTACTCTCATCTTCATTGCTTTTATCTTCATATCCCCTTAGGTAAAACTTCAGGTTTTTATGCTCTACCTAAACGCTGTTGGCCTGATTACCTGTTGTTGTATCCTGCTTGCCTTCGTACTCACCTACCTTACGTCGGCTGGTGCTAACCTCTGGTTGGCTCGATGGAGCGATGAAGCCGAAGCTCATGCGGCAGCACTTGCTGCTGCTACAGAAACCGAACTTACCTATAATACAAGCAGCGCATTGCCAATCGAGGCCTCTCAATCGAACATAAGGCTAGCCGAGGTTATTTCTCGACAATATCAGAACTTGGCAGCTTATGCCGGCATTGGGATATCACAAAGTCAGTTAGATTTACCTTATTTTACACTCCTTTTTAGTTCACTCGTCTTTTTCTATCTGTCAAAATATTTTATTGAGAACGCCTATGCTTATTTTTAGTTTTGTATACAATGCAAACCAAACGTTGATTTTGGGGATGAGCTTAGGTTATGCAGGCCCGCAGAACTTGCGCAAGGATTGAGTTTGCGTGAAAGACCAGTTAGCCTTCTAACCTCTACTTCGAGTTATCACCAAATATAGCTAATTTCTTTTTTCTAAATTAAGAATGCTTTTCTTGGCTTTCAACTCTACATACTTAGACTTTCTTGCTCTCTTTCTGCGAATTGCAATAAAAAGCTTTGAATGAAATTTGATGAATCCCGGATGGGCTAACTTATCTTATCTTTCAGGCCAGTATTTAGCCTGAATAGCATCAAAATCAAAAAGTTAAAATTAGAATGCCTTGTGGCTATTTAATGACTTAAATGTATCATTATACTTCGTTGCCCATATCTAAATGACCTATCATTATGTAATCCCTTTCAAACATATTTGATAAATCGTTCTGTTAATCCATTATTTCCGGATTATTATAGACTCTTAACTTTCATTACTTATTTTATCATTTATTTATTATTTATTACCATTTGTACTTATATGCTTCTTTTTAGTCACATCTTCCGTTGGCTTTAAAAGGCCTCTAATGTTGTCTTTCTATGTTCCTACCTATCAACTTTATAATATATTTCATTTTCTTCCTTAATAATTTTAACTCATTTTTCTTTTTTTGGCTCTTTAGCTGTACTCCTGCTTATTGCCAACGTGCTTTTAGCCTATGGCCATCTTGGTAGCATCACCTGGCTTCATGAAAGATTGCTCATTAGAATTCTCCACGCTCCGCTAATCTTTTTTGATACTGTGCTTCAGGTAATTCTCAAAATGGTTTTCATTATTTTCTTTGTAAGCTAAAATTTTTGGCAAAGCATTTACTACATTTCTTTCACTTATCGCTTGGGCTAATTTGCTAAAAGTTTGTCTGCATTTCTCAAGTCTATGGTGTCCTTCAAGCTTTTGCTCTATAATGAACATCTATTCACCCCTTAAGTTAGCCAGATGGATGTGAAAATCCACGGTCAATGAAGGGTCTAATATTGTTACAAGTAGGAGCCCTCAATTTGCTAGCTTATCTCCTATTCGAAGTCCGGGTAATCTGTTCTTTAGCTCAGTGATATCAATATTTTCATTTATTAGTCGTGGTAGGTGAGTTCGTAATAACACAGTTTTTCCGATTTAAGAACTATGCTGGTAATCTAAACTGCACAATCTAACTGCACTGTTTCTATCCATAAGACCAAGTCTATGACTTCCTATGCCCTAGTCTCATGTATGCCGACCCACAAATGTTGGGGTTCTACTCTTTTTGATTAGGTTCAATATAGAAGCACACAATTTGTGGGTCGGCACACAAGAGACTAGGCTATAGGCAGTCATAGTCTGGTACTATGGATAGAAGCACGATAGATGCGGCGAAGATTAGAGATAGTTGGCTAACAGTAGAGGTGTTTGATCATGTACGTGGTCCATGAAGCAAAGGCTTAACCATGAGAATTACTCGGGGTCTTTAGCCTCAAGTTAGTTTCTTAGAGGCAGAGTGTGGGAAATAACGCCTCGGGTAGCACAAATATGGTGGCAGGGGTCGAATGAAATACTTGTACCAGGGAGATAGCAGATGGATTTTACAGGACAAGAGGGAAACTCTGATAAGGCCTATGGGTGGGGTACTGCTGAACAATAGGGCAAACTCTGATCAACATTCCCAGCACAAGGATGAAGGGGGGGTGAGGGAGTGATAAAGCCAGAGTGGGCTCAAAAGGGCACACTATACCGCATTTAAATAAGCAAGTAAAAAATTGTGATAGTGAAGAGGTGATACGAGGATATAGGATTGGTGATTAGCCTAGAGCGAAAGAAGAGATATCACCATTGTTTAGCAGGCAACTGGTCAAAGTATCGGCTTCACTTATCTCTGACGAGTTGTAGCGTGGTTCTAAGAATTACAATGCTCAGTGATGATGTCATGCATGCTATGAGCTCTGGACTAGGTGCGTTCCTCTAAGTCTTCCCACCAATATGACCAAGTTGCGAAAATAAGATCAAACAATTTTTAAACTTCACAGTG